CTAGCCAGTCTCCAGACCTTAATCCCATAGAGAATCTGTGGAGGGAGCTGAAGCTTTGAGATGCTAAGCATCAGCCTCAAAACCTTAAGGATTTGGAGAGGATCTTCAGAGAGGAGTGGACCAACATCCTTCCTGAGATGTGCACAAACCTGGTGACCAACTACAAGAAGCATCTGACCTCTGTGCTGTACAACTAGGGTTTCTCCACCAAGTACTTGCAAGGGGATCAAATACTTATTTCCCACAGTTAAATGCAAATACATTTTTCTCTTTTATATATGTCTATTTCTGGATTTTCTTTTTGATATTCTTACTCTCACTGTTAAAATAAACTTACCATTACAATTTAGACTGTTAATTTATTTGTAAGTGGGCAAACTTACAAAATCTGCAAGGGATCAAATACTTATTTCCTCCACTGTAGCTGTCAGGAACTTTAGCTCGGATCAGGAAGTGGTAGGGTAGTACATCTGACTTCCAGGAACCTTCAGGCAGAGTGAGCACTGCTGTCACTCAGCATTGTTCAATCAGAAGCACTGTTACACGAGCAAATAGGAGCTGTCCTCATTAACAGCCTGCACTGCTTCACCACCAACCTTTGTAAGAGAAACCCTGAGATTCCAAGTGTTTGGATTAGACTTTAATTACTGTTAATAACAGCCGCATGTCTTGTCAGTGTTAGATGCTGCAATGGGACTTCCAGATGTTCATACACGGTGTTTCTTGTCAACACTGCTTCACCTGTAATTGACTTGAAGTGAACCCTCCACCTTTGTGCCATGTCTGCCCATTGACAACCCAACCACAGCGGTATTTCATAACAGGCAGATCAATAACTGCTGTCATTCTTCATTCCAGTATATAGACCTTTTACTTGGTGTGGATAATTCACTTCTGCACAGAAAAGCAGAAACTGTGCTCTGTATGAACAAAGCATAACTGATCCTTGAGCAGTTACTACTCTTAATTGCAAATACCACACATCATGAATGCCTGTAAACAGAGTGAATGTGCCAATGAAGCAGGAGGAAATCTGCCTCTGTTGCTAACATACTATACTACAATGTCTCAAATATGCAAAGACAGTCCAAACTGTGTTAATATATGTGTGTGTGTGGGTTTATTCCCCATTGAATCACCTTTACCTCTGTAAACAATAGCCAAACTGCGCTTTCTGTTAGTTGTATTTTATTCACTAATTGATTCAGTTGACCCTCCTGTCTCCATGTTGGTGTTCCACCAGGCCAGAGCTACATAAGGTGTTTCATTGGGAAAATACACCATAACCCATCTCCACTGAGACCTTGCAGTTTCAGTTTATTTGCCCAAATTAAATTCTGGTTTCAGAGTCGGTCACTTTTCCACCCACAGGAAATCATGAATCAATACTTCAGTCCTGCCTCCAGCAGTGAGAGCACACTCTCCAGAGGAATCTGCACTCAAGTCAGAACTTCTCTCTCTCTCATCCTCTCGGGAAGAAAACACTTACTGTCTGTGTGCAATGATGGCCTGCAACTAACGATCATTTTCTTTATCAATTAATCTGCTGGTTCTTTTCTCGATTTAATCGCTTTGTCTACGAAATGTGAGAAATAGTGAAAAATGCCCAACCCAGTTTCTCAAAGTTGAAGGGGAAGTCTTTAAATGTATCGTTTCATCAGTCCAAAACCCAACGTTTTTTTATTTAAAAAGGACATATTGTGTTAATTAAGGGTTCATATTTGTATGTTGTGCCTCTACATGTCTCCATGCTTTAATGTTCAAAAAGCTCTTTATTTTTCTCATACTGCCTGTGTTGCAGCACCTCTGTTCACCCTCTGTCTGAAACCAGAGCCCAGTCTGCTCTGATTGGTTAGCTGGATGGCCTTGTTGTGATTGGTCAATCTCTTATGTGTCAGAAATGTCCCGCCTCTTAGCAATCCACGTTCAATGTGTTGAATTGCCTTGATTGTACTCCTTTGTTAACTTTCGTAATGGCGTGACTTGGTGAAATTCGCTCTCCTATTGGCTGGTGTTCCAACACATTGTACTTGATAGGCTAAGGCGCTGTTTACACGAGAACGAAACGGGTTGTATCTGCTACTTTTCTCTTTCGTATAGCCCGTTCGTTCACACGAGGCCGTAACGGAACCGCGGAAACGGACCCCTAAAACGATAACGGGTCCCAAGGTGGATAGATCTGCGGACGGAACGCTCTGGGGGGCCAAATGGCTCAGTGTGTACGCCCTATACGATAATTTCCTGATAACGATGAAGCCATAGCCCCGCCTCTCCCCACCTCTGCTGCTCACTGCTGTTCAATGCTGTAGCATGGTCAGTAGCTACTGCTACTGCTACTGACCATGCTACAGATGTTAGTGCAAAATCTACAGCTCCTCTACCACAACCATCAGCAACAAGTGGACATGGAGAATTACATGAACTACATGTTGCTAAATCCACCGCGGAAAATAAACAGAAGGGCAACCATGGCAACCATGCTCGGGGGGTCTTCTTCGCTGCTTTTGGTGTATTTTGTGGCGGAAGTACAGCGCCACTTACAGGCCCGGCATATGTACTACAGCGTCTCCAGCGCTTTCGAGCGGTCTCGTGTGGACGGAAGACTTTTTTGATATCGAATTCGGTTCGTTTGCGTTCCTGTGTAAATGGGGTCTAAGGGGGCGGGATTTCTAAGCGGTTAACCAATCACAACAGAACTGGCCAGCTAACCAATCAGAGCAAATGAGTCACAGCAGAAGCACAATATACAAATATGAACCTGAAAATGAACATGATAGAACAATGAAGGCTGATTCACTAACATATTTGCTTTACCAAGAATCTATATTTGTCGGTATTTTGCAGTTTAGACCGGGCAAATGTGCCAGGTAAAACATTTGTAATTGCCATTTACCTGTCTGATTTAGTGACTTATGTGTGTAGTGATATGATGAGATAATGCAGTACATAGTAAAGTGTGACTGGTTGTAAAAAAATGCATTGAGTCTTGTCAAGTTGATCTGGAGCAAACCAACCAATGGAATGTCAAGGCGGGTCATCTCCATGGCAATATATAGTACAGTTCCCTGCTGCATGGTGCCCCTGCAGGCCTGTAATACAACTCTACAAGATGTCGATGTTCGCAGACAAGTCCCTATCCATTAGTTTCCAAATGGGAATCATAGAAAAACATTTACAGAAAAACTGTTGAGCAGCAATATGAGTTAAACACTGTTTAAAGCGCAGATGAGCAGTGTTATCTCTAAGCTGATAGTTAAGTGACCTGTGAGTAATATTTTATCGCTCAGACCAAATCATTACAGCTGATCATCCTCAATTTGTTTCCATTTTTGAGACTCAAACGATTGCTTAAACCATTTACCAAAGTTTCTGGTTCAGTGAATTAACGCATATGGGAATATTCCATGGGAGAGGTGTATAGATAATGGACTGTATGCATTAGCAGGGTTTCCTGTGGAGTACAGTGTTTACTGACTGTGGCTGTTGAGGAGGAAATATGTTTCACCTGCATATAGTTGGATTTACTTTTGCATGCCTGCACTAACTACCTGCAGAGCACTCTGCGTTGCTGTGCTGCTGCTGAATGTTAGGACTTTACTGCCGGGCTCAAAGCAACTTGCATGGCATTTGTCACAAGACTATATGCTCTTAACTATGAAGTGCTATTTACTGCTCAGTGACAGCTGAAATCCCAAAGTATTTGACTCTTTATTAGTGTTTTTACTGTATTGTGATTGGTTGTTCACAAAGATGGAGATGTAGACTACATGTAGTGTACATTGGCCAACAGGTGCAAAAGTTCTACAATGGCCTAAAACATTTGCATATGCTTTGTCAAGTTGGTCAATGTTTTCTAAACGCTGCACATGTGTTGTCAAGTTGGTGAAGATGTCTCTTAATTTGCATGTGTTTTGGCCCATTTTGTGTTTTTTATTTGCATATTTTTTGAAACTGCAGCGTATTTCTACTGATGGAAATGTTGGGCTGTTGTAGCTCGTTTGCACCTGTCGGCCACCGTAGTAGTGTTCCTACTCTAATATATAACCAGTTAAATGTTAAAAAGCGCTTGGGAACTAAGGAATAGTCTTACACAATTATTTATCAAGTAGAAAAAAAAGACAATAAATCAAAACAAATATTGCAGAAATAAAACAGGGAATCAAACTTTAAAATAGACAGCAAATGGCAAGAACAGGGCTGTGCCAAGAACAATAGAATTAGAAAATGATATAAAAAAAAAAACATAATATAATTCTGCATAATGATATTCTCATATGCACAATAGCTGCCGTGTGATTCTTTTGGTAAGTAAATCTTAATACCCAGGCCCTTCTAACGGCACAACATACTATGCTTTATACATAAAAAACAATAATGAAAATAAATTGCATTCATAAAAACCTGTACATATGAAAATGTATAATATAATGTGAAATGATATAAGAATAAAACAAATAAAGGCTTAAAACCCATAACTTAGTTGGCTTTTCTAGTGGGTTGAGGCACACTGAGAACTATGAAGATAACGTGTATACCATAAATAAACATTAAACCCCTCTGCCATATTAGATGAAGTGCTTTTTCAAATTCAATTGGTTTCTATTTGACTCTTATGTGATAAGCTGTTTGTGGTTAGTTTTCTGTGACCAGTCTTTATTACACTCTGTTTACTTCCTCCTATTTTAATTTACAATAAGGACCATTAGTTTGGCTCTGCAGCATTTAGTCAGAGTTAATCCCAATTAGGTAGTCTTACCTACTTATGAATAATATCTTGAGAAAAACCTACATTGTGATATTCTATTCAACTTTTGTTTTGAGTTTGCAATATCTCTGCATGATTAGTTGAAGAAATGTGAACAGCAAATGCAACAAAGTAACAGATCGTTGCACTTCCTTTTACAAGTCACCTGAATTCTCATTCTACTTCATTCAACTGTGAAGAAGTTTGCCTCTGTAACTATGTAAGCTAGTCTGAGTGGTTCGTGTTTGTGTCGCAGAGCTTTGCAGAGAACACCATGAACGAGCTGCTGGGCTGGTACGGCTACGACAAGGTGGAGCTGCGAGACTCTGACAACCTGGAGATGGGAGAGACGCCACAGCACATCTCTGTCCTCAAAGGTATGGAAAGATCATGAAAGACATTGAAATAAGTGCTTGTTAATGGGTCGTGAAAATCGATTACGTAATGAGAATATGTTATTTTGTTAAAGGTCCTTAAAAATGTAATTATGACATCTTTTTACTACGTGAAATGCATAGTAAGAAGGCCTTTTTAAAGGTCACTTTTAAGGTCATAAGACTTTATATGTATCCTCATTGCACTGAAGTGGGCAGGGCTCAGTTGGAAAATTGTGATGTCATCTTTTCTATGAACCAATGAAAATGCAACAATTAAGTGTTAGCTCATGCTTCCTGAACTGTCAATCTTATGTGAAGTCAGCTCCACTACCACACTGCACTAATGAACCAGATTAGCTGACCTTTAATTATAAAGGTGTATTAAACTAAAATGAAACTAATTAAAACTAAGAAGGTTTTCTGAGCTTTAAACCTGCCTCAATTGATTTCTGGCCTCTTGGGAGCAATGCAATGAGCTGACATACTGTCATCTCATAAAGTTGATATGGTGCACTTGTTAGCAGTCAGTTAACTGTTGCTACTCTCCCAGGAGACACAGAGCGACATTAGCACTCAGTTGGAGGCTCGTTTGAGTCCACCTGACGAATCTAAGCAAACAAATAACTTTATTTTGAGCTCCAATCAGTGACATACACTCAAACAGTCCCACCACTTTCTTTGCCTTTTCACTTCCATGCTATACGAGGTAAACATCCACACTGGGACTACTGGAAGCAGTTGTGGTCAAACTTAGTAATGTTATTCATTTCAACGTGTTGAGGTTTACAGAATAATCTTGAGCGTTAATGCGTTAACAGCCCTAATCAGAACCCAAGTTTAAGGAAACGTCTATATTTGACCTTCTTGTCCAAATGAGTGACCCATTTCACATTGTATTTGGTCATGTTATCCACTGTCAATTAACGAGTTAGTCTTTACCCTTCATTGTTGCTTTTTTTTTCTCACAATTTTTCTGTAGGGCTTTTAAAATACATTTGTTTGAACATGCTTTATCACTTGTGCCTCAGCTATGTGTACAAAAATGACCCTTTATGTCAAATTAAGCCATACTAGGCTTTTACATTATTCCACAATTTACAGATTATTGCACAGCATCTCATCAGTTGTTCAGTAATGCTATTTTATTTTGCTTAATTTCCCCCTGTCTAGAAAACTTGTTGCCAAAAATCCCAGCCTCAACAGAGAGCGGTGAAGGCTCTCCGGATGGAGCCAACAGCTCCCACTGTCTGCCAGGCTCCAGGAACGGAGTCACAGAGCCCTCCACCACCCCCTCCACCTCCATGCCCGGCACCAAGGAACATGGCAACATGCCCGGCACCAAGGAACATGGCAACATGCCCATCATTGTCCCCATGATCCCCCCGCCACTGATCAAGCCTCCCTCAGGTAAGGAGTACTGACACTTGGAAAGATATTGAGGTTGAGAAGTAGTACATATAACTCCTTGTCAACTAAAAACGACCTTGGTCGACAAGGGTAAACGAGCTACACCGGCCATAAACGCTTCCATTAGAATTAACGCGCTGCACTTTTAAAATGTATGCAAATATAAAAACATACATCTGCCAAAACAAATGACAAATGAAGAAACATATTTACCAACTTCACAACAACACTGCCAACACAAAATGCTGCAAATAAAAAAATTGCTGCTAAAAACTGTAACGGGACACAGTTGGGACGCTTGTTGATATTTTGGAATTAGTGTTTTGTCAGAATATTAGAAATTGACAAGTTTAGCTACGTTAGCTTGCTAGCTTATAGCAGATCTGCAATAATATCAGAAGGAATTATGCAATCACATTGTTAAAATAAACCAATACATTTGACATTTTAGGTATGTTTCCAGTGATTGTTTGCCAACTTTATAATCCCCGAAAGTACTCCTGTCCCAGCTTTGTCACTTTTTTGTTGTCCCTGTTGCCTTTCGGTTTTAAGCTTCTTGCATCGTTTTTTTATTTGCAGCGTTTTGTGTTTGCATATTTTCGTTTATGCAGCACTTAGTAAACGCTGCGCATGTTGGTGAATGTTTTCTAAATGCTGTGTTGTAAAGTTGGTGCATGGGTTTTGGAAAATGTGTGTTTTTTTTATACGCTTCCTTTTTTTTGGCAACTTGTGTCTGTATTGTAGTGGTCAGAACGGATGACATGCAGCACATGGTCCTGAGCCAGATTCGTACCTTGGTCTGCCACTCAGGGACCAAACCCCAGTATATGGGCTGCCAGCTCTACCAACTGAGCTATATTGCATCGTTTGTAAAAGTGCAGCGCGTGTCTCCTAATGGAAGTGTTTTGGGCTGTTGAAGCGCGTTTGTACCTGTCGCCCAACATGAAAAAACCATCAAAAATGCTTTGAAATTGCTATATTTAACATTTCTAAAAAGATCAAGGTTTAATTTCAGCCCAACCACAAAGCACCCACAATAATTTCTCCGGTCAGAATACAAAGAACTGGCAAATATCTCACCCACAGCTGTTTTACACACAGAATACATTGTAGTGACAGTAAAAACCTACTTGGTGATTCTTCAGCACTTAGCAGAAAGATGAATGTTTATGCATCAACTTGCTGTCTGTGCGACGTCCTGAGAGCCTCCAAACCAGGCAGGGACTGGCGACTAATGAGCTAGCTACCTGCTGTACACCTTGTTTTCCTCCACCTGCCCAAGTGTCAATATAACCCCGTCAACTCTCTGAGGAAACGTCCTCGTTCCTGGGCCAGACAGAGGGCTTCATTATCCCCTGCGTCTGCTGCGGCACAGGAGGCTGCTACGCCCCGGCGGAGGGAGCGACCGCCTTGGCATCGCCCAAGAGGAGTCCCCGCTGGCCCTGCCCAGGCGGGGAAGCAGATGGTGCGGTCCCACTTAAAGCCCAGCACCAACTCGCCACCCGGCCACCACCCCCTTCAACTCACCCCCCCTCTCCACCCTCAGACATATGCTGAATTATTCATGTGCCCCGCAAAAATCCGACAAAGGACCTTTTGAGGTGCAGGTACGCAGATGATGGTGGCATTTAGCACGGAGGCTGCATAATTACTGCCGGCTTTTCCCCCGCTCATGCAGATGTGAGTGTTTTTGAGCTTGTTACGAGATGCCAGGTCGTGGGAAGACGAAAAACAACTCCACCTCAAGATGTCGCTTTGCATGAAAATGTTGAGATAATATGGAAGATGTTGTGATTTGATGTTGGCCTTCGATCCTGTTCATCATGCTGTGGTACCGACATATTTTGAGAAATGTAGAAACCCCGATCCACCCACCCAGTCAGCCCAGGAGGTTTTTCAGGAAGCAATCCAGATACACTCCAAAAGGCAGGGAGACTATAGGAAGGAGAGGAAAGACATAACATATGCATGTTAGGTCTACGGTGCTATCTTTAGGGCCTCTGGGAGTTATTCCCCTAATTGTGAGTTAGTCTTTACTTAAAATCTGATGGCCCTGCAGATCCGTTAAGCTCAACAAGAGGTGAAAATCCTGGCCAGCGTGCGATAAGGAGGTGAGCGGGGGGGAAAGACTAATGGGCCTGCGTTTCTTCGCCCTCACACTCGCATAGTCATAATGTGATAATTGGGAAATACTGGAGGGAATCTCGGAGGATCTCTCTTATTGCAACAGCGACGGCACTAAAAGCCCGCAGCTCATCACCGGCAGTCACAGTTTACCACAGAGGAGGCATTTCACTGTCACTGAGGCTCTGTTAAAATAATTTGTTGCCCACACTGACCACACGGCAGCACTGCACCGGCCTCTAAATCAAACGGGGAACTAGGTTTCAAGCCATTACTGCAGCTTTCAATAGATTATATTGTGTTGTTCTCCCAAAAACTTTTTTATGCACCAAATGAATTCCGTTGAAACGAGAGATGTGTTGAGGTCAACTAAAGATTTATTCAGAAATGTGTTGGGGCTAACCATAAATCTAAAGTCAGAGGAGATGTTTTTGACCTTTAAATCAAATTTAGAACGCCTTCTTTGCGGGCACACTTCCACACAGGTCATGAATTCGGGCAAACCACCAATATCTGAGAAATAAATGTACTGACTAGCATACTGTTTATAAACTGAAAAAATATGTTATTCTTTTTATTGATAATATATTGCAGTCTACTTTAACTGCCAGGGCCCTGCTGTAAAAATCCCCATACAAATACAAATACACACCCACTAACACCACAAACTACTATTAAAAAAATATTTTCAGTATATATATATATATACACACAGCCCCCCTCGTTTTTTTTCGTTTTCTCTACTCTCGAAGGGCCCTCATCGTTGATAATTAATAAATCACACCCACTCAGAACACACATCACAGACTAGACCTGCTGATCTTTAGCGTCACCCAAGTTCTTCATTGTGTCCACTTCAACTTTATTGCCGCCATAGAAGAGCCACAAAAAGGCATCTTCCAAATTCCCCAGCTCATGAATCCCACAGTATTTTTGTGCCTTGAGCGTGAGCGTCTAAATGTATTAAACACAAGCCCTGCCGTCCTTGTGTTTAATACATTCAGTTGTTGCATATCTGTGGACATTCTCTGCAATGGACTTGCACTTAAATCAAAAAGGAATACTTAACATAAGGCCATATTCAAGAGATTCAAGGCTTTATTGTCACGTGCACATTAGCTACAGTGTAGATATGGCAATGAAAAACTTAAGTCACAGGCTCCTACAACAGTGCAACATGAATATATATAGGACACAGAACAAATAAAACAGATAAAATAGTGCAAGAGAATGTTTGGAGTAAATACAAATAAAATATCTATCCTTACTCACTTTTACCATTGTTTGTTTGTTTCTAGATGAAGATGCATCCAACATGCAGATCCTGTGCGCCTGGTGCCAGAAGGTCGGCGTCAAGCGCTACTCTCTGAGCATGGGGAGTGAGCTGAAAAGTTTCTGCAGCGAGAAGTGCTTTGCTGCCTGCCGTAGAGCCTATTTCAAGAGAAACAAGGTACATTTCCTTCCTTTAACCAGCACTGGAACACTTACAACTTCTCTTATAGGCTTTGCAGATAGTATGTCACAAATCTCCTGGCAAGTACATGTGGTCATCATCACTGAGTCCCGAATGGATCCAATCACTCACACGGCAAACATGAAATACCTCCACATATAATTGTAGTTGACGATGGTTGAGAACAGCATGAATCGGACATGATGATAAAGGAATAGTTTGACAGTTTGGGAAGTACACTAACTAGCTTTACTTTCCCGACTTTAATGAAAAGATAGATACCATTGTCATGTCTGTGTGTCAAGTAGGCAGCTTAAGGCGGGAGGTATTTAGCATAGCTTAGCATCACGTCTGGTAGTAAAGCTAAAGCTCACAACACTAAACAAACAGTAATGTAAAGCATTCTTTACAGATGCACTGCACCCCGATTGAGCTAAACGTTTTTATACACAGTTTATACACCAATTAAGTTGAAGTCAGTGTGAAGTTGGTTAGCTAAAATAATTTGGGTCTGAAATATGACAGGTTGTTGTAGGTTACTCATGGTCGTACTGAACACAATAACATAACACAGGGTGTATACATTGCATTCTACCAGCCAGTAACACTCTTTATTTTACTTTGCAAACTTGGTGTCAGAACTACTTTGTTATAACTTCTATATTAATTGTAATCTTTTTGTGAGGGAGAGCAACAATTGTACGTATTATTTTCAAATGTAGAGCAACAGACAAGTGCTTCCCCCCTCTAATGAAAATGTACGCCTGACGGTTAGCTAACGTGATGCTATGGTTGTACTAGCTGAGATGCTAACAGTATTTACAAACAAAAAACTGTACATTTATTTTACACATAAAACATTTAAATAAAATGTCTATTAGGTTCTGTTGGGACATAAAAACTGGATGTTCAATTAGTTTATCGCTATGAAATTGCAGAAATATGTCCTAAAACACAGAAATTAGCTAGTTCTCTTGTCAATGAGTTTGTCTAAGCTTTTACGTGTAAAAAAAAAAAAGCCTTGTTAACAAGAGAGACTGCTATACATTACGTCAAACAGAAGCGACATGTGACTGTAATGTATTGTGTTTATAGTCAAATTGTAACTGTCTACTTTAGATAAATGCATTTACCCATTCAAAAATCATATAAATGATTATGAAATCTGAACAAAAAATATACAGTAAAGTGTCATAAAACTTGGTTTGACACATAGGTCATTTTCTGCAATACTCACAAATCTGATGGAAAATCCCATTGGCTTCTAGTTAGGAGAACCAGGGCGATGCTAACTTCAGGTTGGCCTACAAAAATGTGTGGGCACTTTATTAGAGCAAGAGAAAATTGCCTCCTTAATTCCGAGTCAACACTTCAAAAGGTCATTTTAACTTAAAAACCCTGTCATTACTATTTCAGGTTTGGCTTGAATACAAAATGCATGATACATAATAAATACCAAGAAACCACTGAGAATGAACCACGGATTTTACAACAAAAACATTTTCGGGCCGATGACTGCTAAATGACTTGGTCACCATGGTGTGTAACAAGCAAAAGGGAACATTTAAAGCTGTTATTGTGTTCTCATTTTCCCGCCCAATGACTGTAGTTAAACAATCTCCTTTCTTTCTTGTACCAAAGCTGGGATATATAAGGAATTACGCTGTGAGTATGACGTGTTTTACTCTCCTGCTTGTCTGTCCTCAAGTCAGTTATTCATCTAAACATAATCACTTTTTAAGCACTGCACTGGAGCAGGAATAAGTAGGGGTGCACTTAGAGTTTTTTTGTTCATTTCAGTTAGTAAAATCCTATTTCTTTTTCTTTTCTGACACTTTTCCCCAAAGCATGAGAATCAAGCTGAGCCTTGCGTCTACTGTACTGTCGCTCATACTATGTGTTTTTCATTTTCTACCTTAACATTTTAGCCCATTTACTTTGATAGAAAAGTCTGTAGTTTTCATTGCACTAAATGTTGAAGTGATGACAAATGATCTGTCTTGTCGTGGTGATGACAAGAAGAGTCTGACATGTGGAAACCTCACGGGAGAACGTGTGACAGTTGCAGGAGCTATTAGAGCTTCATATCGGATCAAAACGCTGCTTTTGAATTACACTTTTTCTTTCTGAGCTTCAGAGAAGGTCTGAAAAAAAAGTCTATGCTACTTGACACGCAACAAAGTTGACAAGGCAGCTCCATATCAATCTGAGATCTATCTATCACGGAGGTTGTTAAAAGGAGATTTAGATTTTTTAAAGTGGGTTTATATGAGGTGCTTACCCATAGTAAGTGTATTATCTACAGTCAGTAATGGTCAGCAGGCCACATAAGTATCAGCAAGAAGCTAAGAAATAAACTGCTGTGAATTGGGGCCAACAGTAAAACGTATTAAAGACACTAGAGAGAAAGACCCATCTAAAAAAAGAAAAATACCAGTTTGCTATATCAAGAATATTTTCAGCGCCTTACCTTGCTGCCAGACAGCCATTTCCAACAGGAAACTGAAGTCGTTATCTGTGCTTTCTTCAAAGCCGCAAGACTCCATTGACAAAAACACTAATTATACAGTACCTCAAAGAACATGGGAGTTGCTGGTCTACCGCTGACTCGATCAGTCAGTTTGTTTGTCCTTTTGTGTTACTTTAGTGTCTTACAGTGAGTTAGTTCTGAGAGGTTAGGCGGTGAGATAGTGCTGTCGTTTTTCCATCGGCAGTTTGTGGGTTAGATCCCGGGCGCTGCAGTCAACACGTCGATGTATCCTTGGGCATGCTACTTAACCCAAGTTGCTCCTGGTGGGTGGCAAACGATGTGTGAATGTTAGCTTACTTAAATAGGTGGCACCTTATATGGTAGCCCCTTACCTCTGAATGAATGGGTTGTGAATAGGTGAGAGATGACTTGTAAATGTAAAGTGCTCTGATAATCACCTTTGGTAAACAACGGTAAATAACCGTTCCTCACTTCATCTTGGAATCACAGACAGTTCAGCTGTCTCACTATGGATACAACTAATTATTTATTTTGAAAAGCGTACACTTCACCTTAAAATAATATGTGGAGGTGGAAATAATACATTGTGGTTCTGCCAACATCCACCACAGTACATTAGTTAGCTTACTGCTGATACTCCTGTCTGTTGGTACTAAAACTACTGAAGGGAATACACTGACTAAGGTTTAAAGATGTAAAAAGTACAAAGATGCAACAACGCTCTTTCAAGTTGCTCTCCCCTTAATCAGCCTCAGACAGTCCTTTCAAAGGATGTCCTCTCACTGCGGAGACAGCTCTTTGTGCAAGTTATAGTTGAATAAAAGTCTGAATTTCAAAGAGACAGGTTAGATCATATCTGTAGTAGAGGAAATTGTTCCTTATGAGGTTCGATAGATAGCATGCCATCACACTATTTTTGATGGTGTTCCAGCAAAAAAGTTAGTCCAAAGATACAAAAAATATGCTGGTTCTTAGTGTTTAATTTTCATAAATTAGCAATCAGTCATGGTACTTTAAACCCACTTTGTTCATTACAGTAACAGTGCGTTATGCAATTATAGTAGATGAAGTGCTCCACTTAAAACTAACAAAGAATGTAATGGCGCATTTCCACTGCAGTGCGTAGCACGGTTTAAGCGTGCCCTACCAAACCCGGCCCGTTTTTTTGTTGCGTTTCCACTGGGGGTAGTTCCGGCTAACGGGTACTGTTTCACAGTTTTTCTGGCCCTCCAAAATCCAGGTTCTTTCCGGGCCAACAACCAGGCTGAATATGCTAAACTAGTGAGAGAATCGCTGGCAAGGGGGCTACAACTACAACAAAATGAACATATTTGACCGTGATTTAATTGTAATACATGTTTCAAAATGATGCCGAAGTAACAACATACTGATACCGGTTAGTAAAAACCATGAATTAATGCTTTGACAAGTCTGCAGACAGACGGCAGGCGGAAAACCTATTAAAATGCGTGTTTTCTAAATGGAGATCGGCTAAGCTAACGTTGTATATACTCCGACCGTCCACACTCACAACAACGGCCTACAGAGACATAAATAAACCGGCGACTGTATTCGCCATGACACAGGCAGTCTGTGGTTTGTACTTGTTTAACTTTTGTCTAGTTTCTGAACAGATATGAGGAGCTGTGAGCTTGAGTGCTAACAGCTAACGGCTGATGTTGGTTTTGTGTTTCGCATTGAAGATGACGTCACGGCTCCGCCTACACTGCGTTACTATAGTTACTGTGCCAGCTACTAAACTGTAATGGAAACGCAGCATAAAGTGAGCCTGGCCCTGGCCTACCAAGGCCTAACTATACCGTACTAAGCCGTGCAAGGCCCTGCAGTGGAAATGCGCCATAAGTCAGTGTTAAAAAAAACAACTGTTCGGAACGGCCTTGAAGATTTTACCTGAGAAAAACATTTCATTATTTGAAACTTGGAATGAATGATTAGAATCATTAGAATGATTTGCAGCCTCTTGATAATTAGGTACATATTATATATAAGCCCATTTCTGCCATAGAAAACATACATATTTTATAATGATAAAAGTAAATTATTACATTAATTTTCATAATTATTGAAAATAATCTCAAAATTGTGGAAACGGGCTTTGATCATTTTTGAGCCCTAGTTATATATTATCTGTTAACTCAAATTTCAAGGTAAGTGAGTATTTTTCATTTTTCAGTTATTTCAGTGTCAGATTAAGAGATTCAATTGCGGTTTTAAACATTAGGCAGGAAATTGACCTTATTGATTTTAACCTTTTGGCCTAAAAATTGAGACATTAATGCTGTCATATTTAATGGTATTGATAAATGTGTCCTGTGACAGCTTTACGTTTTTAGAGGGGGTTCTAGACCAATTTTACTGGTCACATTTTACTTCAGTATAAAGTCAAAAAATTAATAAGTTACAATTGTATTAAATTACATTATTAAAAAATAACCCCCCTGCTGGCCCACCCCTAGAACAGCCCATGAGTTTCATTCATGGACCATTACTTGATCTACACATCAGCAGTACAGAAAAGGGCAACTACAGTTTAGCACAGATTCAGAGGACATCACCCACACATACATTAAAGGAGTCATTTCATTAACACACATTGCTGTTAGAAGCCAGTCCGCCATGTTGGATGTTTCCTTCACCCGTCATCAGCAGAATGCTCAAACATCACAAACACAGGAAAGGCCTGCGCTGCCACAGAGGCTCAGATTCTATATTTTGTCTGGCTCGGGCACATTCATGCGGGCCATTTGTGTAAGTGATACCCACATGTTTCTTTTCTCATGCACCCACAAGGTTGGCCACAACAACACGGCCTGCAGGCTTTCTGTCTTTTTTTCCAACTGTAAAAAAAAAATATTGTCATGGCTGAAGAGAAGTATCTCATGTCTGTGTGTGCTGTGGAGAAGAGACGTGGGGGAAGAGGAGGAGGAGGGGGGGGGGGGGGGGACGGCTCTGGCATTAAGTTGCATGAAATATCTTCAGCTGCCTCATCCATGAAACCCAATCCCCTCCTAGGGTGACTCTGGTTGCTACTTTCTCACATCCCTGCTGCATAACTCTTTATTATAGCGAGTGTGTTTGTGTGTGGCGAAAGATGATTGATAGTTTAACAAGGATAATCACTTATGTGCGTGTTTACTGTGAGCCTTAAGCTCTTGGATTAGTTTGTATGGAAGGTGCTGCTTCCACGCTGCTCACACTACATAATTATTCTGTCTGTCACAGCGCTCTGCCTGCTCACTTTTATTTACTTATTGACTGTCCACTATCGATAACGACACATCACTCTTTTGCAAGTTTTTGCAATGAGATTCAACTTATTTTGCAGGTTTGTATGCGCTGCAAATCCCAGTTTGAGTTGGAATGACACCAACAGTGACATTTTAAGTGAGAATTGACACGTACAACAGCGCGATATTTGACATTTTTGCGGATTAAAGGAATTAAATGTAGGGTGGAGTTTTGCTTTTCAGCTGTAGGCAGAAGCTGTTCAACTGTCACGCTTTTACACGCAGTCGTACGGTTTCTCCCGCTATCTGACGCCCACACATACACCGATAAACATGCTTGCTCATTGGACACAGTGCCAAGATTAAGTTAGGCAATTAGCGGTGATTAATTACCCTCTGTGAGTGTGGCGCTCAGCAGCAAAAAAAAAAGGGTGTAGGTTAGAGCGAGGATGCTTTGCTACGGCCTCATACTCCGCAGGGACGTCCACATATCATTTAGGATCGGATTTTAAATGCTGCTGTTGCTGTGACAGAAACATGATGAAATGTTGCCTGTTTCTGTTGCAATAGCTCCGACAATCTGCTTTTCTCTGCAGTTTGGTTTGCGTTCAGGAGTTTTCGGGCTTGAATTCCTCAGGAAAAAAAAACTGGTTGATTGTAGGCTGGTATGTTGTGGTTGAAAAGCGGCTAGAGGAGGAACTGGTTCTGAATACTGATGGAGTTAACAGTGGCTCATCATGTGTCATCTGCAGGGTGATTTATCATATTTTCTTGATTTAAAAACATCCCAAAATATGTTACTATTTTAGATATCATCCTTATATCTTTCTACATCATGAAAATATACACTCCACTGCTTCCACGCGGTTCAGCAGAGCATAAAGCAGCTAGCTTCTGTCGTTTTTTGCCGCAGCGCAGGGCTTTTTGTTCACATCATGAAATTCCCCCCAGGAGACCCCAGACCTCCATCAGTGTCTTTCCCCGGGAGCTCCCTCCAGGCGCGAGGGGGCAGAGTGCCGCTTCATGTCAGCCCAGAAATGTCACATCACCTCTTCCACACACACACAAACACACACTCACCTCCTCCACACACAGCCCCGTGGTTGCCTCCCTGCTCCTGAACGCTCCACAATTTACTTTGCATCTCCCAAGGAGGGCACGCACGCAAAATGAATAAGAGAGAAGACTCTGAGCATGTGTATGTAACTGTGTCTTGTATTTGTGTGAATGTGCTCGTGGAAAATTGTGTGTGCGTGAAGAAATGTGTCTGCATATTGCCGCTCAGGCGAAGCAGCCTTGAGGCCTGCCTGACACAGCTTCAGGGCACAGAGAGGAAGGTGATTATCTCATAGCTGCCAGCCATCCAGCGCAAATAAAGAGAGAAAGTTACCCCGGATAACTAGGCGTAGAGATTGTTAAAGTGGAGCCAAGCACATGAACACATTCCTTTGTCTTTTCTTAAACGTATAGGTGTCATAAACTAGAATAAGGCAAAAAGTGCAGGAAAAACTAACATCTCGTATTTGAATTTGCAGGTGGTGTGTTTTCATTTTTATAATAGAATATGTAACATTTCTGGATTTTAAATTCTAAAGAAAATTATGTATGGGTTGTGTATTTACACTATCCCAAATGCTTTCACCCATTTTCCAACCCAGATCATTTTCATTTGGCCGCCTGTATAAATTCATATCCCCGTTGTACATGCTTCAGTGGTTGCCAGTTTTGGGAGAGGAACTCCCTCTGGAGGGAACACAGGGATTTTAGCCTTTGCAGACCATTTACATGCACAAAAACCTATATAAAACACTCCAGGAAAGGGAAAACCCCAAAAAGTTTAAGCCGCTTGAAGGAGTCATCCAGCATCTGGATCTAAAGTGATCAGAGAAACAAACTGATCAAATGTTAGTCATTGACCTGCAGCAGACCCACAGAAAACGGAGAAACAACCACTTTTAAAGTGAATCTAATTTAATCAGTGTCTTGACCAGTTTAATGCATCTGTTTTTTTTTGGAGGGGAGACATCTACTGATTAAACCCTCCTGAACCATAAACATTGAATAAACTCTAACTGAGAGAAACGGACCGAATGATGGAGCAACAACCAAACTCCGTCTTTTGTTATTGTTTTGATTGAGAGCCGCCTCAAATTACTTAACATTCTCTTTGCAATCTAAAGTATGCCAAGATGACGATATTTCATTGTGGCTTATATTGAAAAAAACCTTTGCTACACCAAAAACATATTTAGTAGTCTGATTTGACCAGTTTTACAAAGAAAAAGTCATACATATATTTATCGTAGTACAGCACAGTTTTTTCTGTGCAAACAACTCATAGATCGTGCCTTAGTAATCTTCCTGTGCATGTGTGAACATCTACGCAGTGCATTGTAACTGTTTCTTTAACCAAAATCAAATTGATTTTGTAATGGCTTTTAGACATGGGAAGTAGAGACACATTTGTCCTTTTTAGTAAGGTTGTTGTTGTTTTCTCGCCTGTCATACACGTAGTGCCAGGTCTGCACCTTGGTTTCAGGATCTGGGCTGAGCTCTGCTGTGCTCGGCTGGGTTTGTCTTTGGATTTTGAAAGCCTGCCTACGAGCGTCTTTCTTTGGGAAACGCAACTCTTTTGGCAGGTGACGGGCACACACACCTGGACATGTATCCGTGCCCAGATGGAAGCTGGAGCGGTGGCAGCTGGTGTGACGTCCCCTCAGGACGGGGGAGCCGCCAGAGGGGAGTGAGGCGGACTCCGGACGGTGCCCCGCTCTGACGTTCATATAAGGAATCTCAGAGGAAATGTTATGTCGAGAAAAAAAACTACTTTAAAACGGAATTTCCTGTCTGTCTGTCTGTCTGTCTGTCTGTCTGTCTGTCTGGCGGTCGGTCGGTCGGTCTGTATTTCCCATATCCTTTATCTGTGTGTGGCTCCCTGTGTGCCTCACGCCTCGTTCACAGTGCCAACACCTCATTAGTACAATATGCAAATGAACTGGCGCAGGGCCAGAGGGTCAGAGCACAAACTGGAGACAGAATAATAGCACAATGGTGCATCTTTGTGTGTGTGTCCGCAAATCCATGCCCAGATTCATGTATGTTTATGTGCGTTTACCTGTCTTTGAGTGCTCAAACTGAGGAGACATGGTGTGTATGTGTTTGTGTGTGTGTGAGGGTGAAAGACAATAGCTGAAATAGGTCAGCCTAAACCAACTGTTCATTTAGACAGCTTTTAGATAACATGACCTCATAATCTACGGTAATGTTCTACCTTTTTTGTGACAAAGTAAAAAAAAACAAGTTCAATTTTAAATGTCAGTGATGTTCATGTGTGAATCTCCACATTTGATTTATGCCATGCTTGGAATGGGACACCCTAGCTGGAGGTGAGGGAAGCAGAGGGAAGCAGATGGAAGCAGAGGCTAACTTAATCAGTCGTTGGACAAAGAAATGTAGACTATATCGTCTTTTGGTGGTATCGAGAATTGAGCAGAGCTTGAGGGCAAATTACAAGTGAAAGGTTGCAGCGAGCAATTGATAGTGAATATTATAAGAAAGAAAGACTCAAAGAGACTCACCTGTCAGTGGCATGAGCTCAGTATGAAGTGTCAGCTCTGGGCTGCAAACAGCACGATGAACATGTCAAATTGATGTTAATTTCTAATAGCTGTTCCTCAGTGCCCCGTGGCCATCAAGTATGAACCAATCACCTCACACCGAGGTATTTGTTGTGTGTTTCATTCAATGGAACACAATGGAGTGATTTGGCGTAGAGCCAGACAAAGCTTCTCCAATAACTTCCTTGCTCACACCTGGCATAACAGTTTTCACACTGTGCGTAATGAATGACTCACAGTGCAGGAGAAGGTGGCTCCTTTTCAGATTGTTTGAATGTTTAGAGTTTAGTATTCTATTATGAGAGCATGGGAAATTAAACCAGCAACACCTACTGTTTAAGCAAAATAAACATGATCTTAGTTAAGCTACAACTTTTATTTCAACAAAAATGTATTAAAGAGGCCCTATTATGCTTTTGGGGGGTTTCCCTTTCCTGTAGTATGTTATATAGGTTTGTGTGCATGCAAATGGTCTGCAAAGGCTGAAATTCCAAAGTTCCCTCCAGAGGGAGTTTCTCTCCCACTCCCACCAAATACTCCCCTGTTCACCCCTAACATGCCCAAAAACATTTGGCAATTTTAGTTGACCACAGTGTGCTATTTTTTTACAACAATGTTACATTCATCCAAACCAACCAGATAAGTACTGACTATTGAACTGAGTCAGACACATTGTAACTTTGTAACTTTTGTGGGTGCTTATTCAAATGTTAGAAGTTAAAAAGGGTTTAAAGGGTGTAGAACATTATGATGGAAGTGTATGACGAAGAGAAGTATGTTTAACTTTTACTTTGCTCTTTTCTACCTTTTTCAAATACATTTTGACGTGTAACAGAAGGTAAAGCTGGGTGTAAACAACTACACTTCAGTACAATCTCACATTCATTCATGGCTTTTAGACCATATTTACTTTTACATATACAGTCTATGGTATTTATTAGAAGCACAGAGTTGGAGGGAGCCTCTGAACTGTTATCCGAATATGATATATTGGAAATGTCTCACACAAACGACGTATTCCACTTTCAAACATGTGAGAAAAAAATCACATTATCTTAGAAAAGTGTAGCTGTTGGTTTGCAGGACATTTAAATATGGATCTAACTTCCAATTGAGTTTTTGGGGGAAATACAAGACACGTAAACAAGCATTACTGAAGAGTAGTTCGCTTAGTGTAGCGTGATCACTAAGTTTTTATTTTTTATTTTAAATGTGTTTAATTTTCCATTTTAATCTGAAATAAATCTGTTTCAATGAACACACACAGCTGTGAAAGTAGGCAGCAATTTGAATGTAAAAACTAAATGTCTTGCACACTCCTCAACCTTCACACACACACACACACACACACACACACACACACACACACACATTTTTGTTTCAGAGAACCCTGTTGATTGGTTTGACCACAAACCAATGACTGCTCAACCATTTTAAAGTCACCATTTCTGTTCATCTTTCTCACTGTTGTTTTCCATTTCTGAGTTTCCTTGTTGCCTCTGTTCACCTGTTTATTTTGTCCATTCGTAAAAAGCAGCCATTATTTCTTCCCCCCCAGGCAAGAGACGACGATGGCCTCGGTGGGAAATTACCCCAGCACAGCTTTACTCAGGACACGCCCAGGCTTGTCTTCAAGACAAACAGCGATGTGCTTGTAAGGACCATAAACATTTAACACCAGATAGAGTTTAAGCTTGATGGCTACTGCACAAATATGTTTTGATGTTGTTCTTTGTTAAAAGTGTATCAGTTTCAACTAATTTCTTCCTGACATGTTAATAGATCTTAGGCACATCTGTAAAAGTAGACCATCAGATTCAAGTCAGACCAAGAATTAACACACAGTACACAACTCATGTTTTACATAAAGTTTGCACACATTTAAGTTGAACCTTTTTCATATGTAATCATTTGTTTTGCTCATTTTCATTATACATTGTATTCAGTGACTTGTGTTGGGAATTAGTAGTTATCATACAAGGAATCTTAATTAATTTATATGCAATTTATTTCGGTATTTTTGAGCAATGTAATATTTTACATAGATTGCACAAAAAAAGAAAAGTTGGTGAACCCTTCATCACAACGGAAATTCAATGGAACATTATACCACTAACATGTGCTTCAAATGTAGATCCAATGGATGATTCATGATTATATATGATTATATAATAGACTTTTATCTTTTAGCATTGTTTTGTGTTTTCCGGTATCAGACTCTGAAAATAATGGGGTTATCACATCTGACAAATAGTGTCAAGATCTACAGAAAAAGACCCAAAGACATCTTAGGAATTGCGATTATTTCCTGTTGCTCAAAGTCAGATGAGAAGATAAATAGCGCTTGTATATGTAACCTAAACGTAAGTTGAATATTAAGCTTCAGACAGCAGTAGGTTAGCTTGACTAAACAAAGACTCAAAATGGCGGGAAACAGCAAGCCAGCGACTTTAGAAAGAAATAAACTAGTAGCAAAATCTAAAGTAGCTTATATCCTTGTTTTGTTGTTTTTTGTGTATGGTACCAGACAAATAAATGTAACTAACTGATTCTGATTGCCAGACAAACGGCAAGTGAGCTTTGCAGGCGCTTGTAAGCAGATTTTATCATATCTGGACAGGCTAACTCTTTTCAGTCTTAATGCTAATATGCTAAAAACAAACTAACATAGGCCGTAGCCTCATATATAGATATTTAGAGTGCTATTGATCTTCTCATCTACAGAAAGGGTCTACAAGAAAAGGAATTTCCATATTTTCCAAAATGTCAAACGTTTGCTTTGGGTAAAGATGTCCCACATGTAAAAGCAAACATGTACACGGCAGCCACACGCTAACAGAAATATTTAGTCTCAGTCGGCTGCAGTGACATTCAAACACAATCCACTGTCTGCTTATCTTTCTTACAGGGGAGATATTTTGCTCACGTTGCGTGCGTGAGTGTGTGCTGTTTAAATATAGCGCGATAGAACTTGACTTGGCAGAGTGAGAATGGCCTTTGTATGTCACATCTACAGTATAATGACCGATGGTGATGGCTGCCTGGGTTAAGAACGGCCTAACACGGAGTGCAGCTTTCTTCTTCTTTGGCTTTTATCTGCAGTTTAAACTTTTCATGCTCCACTCAGGTTTTAATGAAGACATCAGGTAGTGTAGCCAATTTAAAAAAAACACTGGAAAACCAGATATGTTTCCCCTTTTTGTAAGCCAGGTAATTATAACCACCATGATAGATATTCCAATAAATGAGGACAATGCAAACTGATATCTTGGCTAATCATAGTAAGTCCACATGTTGCAGATGGTCTGTTAAGCTCTGCCAAACTTTAATTTTCTTGTGTAAGTGGAAGCTTTATTCAGTTTTTTTTCCAATGGACCAGGTGCTTTAAGATGGCAGCCTCTCGCAACATAATCTAGTTTTGTTTGGACTCAATCCACAAACCCTGTGTTACCGTTTGCCATCATTGACGGACTAGAATTGTCAAGAGTGGATACTTTGCCACAGATTCTTTGGAGTGTGAGACAATTTGACTGAAAAAGAAGCGACTGGCTCACTCAAAGCACCTGCTTCATTTTCCTGGGGTTTAATCCCTGTGTTATGTGATTATAGCAGCAATCTGAGAAGGGTCAAAAGAATCACATATCAACCTTAATAGGGAGGGGGGGATATACAAGCCTTTCCCTTTATGCACCTCTGCTGCTTAAACCTCTTCATTCTACATATAAAACCACTTCAGGCACTCTTGGGGAAACCTTACAATCTCTGTGCCGCCTGAAACCCTCCAGCCTCTTAACCCTCAGCAACCGCCTCCTCTTCTTCCTCTTCATTATCTAAATCGTCCACATCCTCTGCAATCTCTTTAACATCTGCACATCTTCACTGCCGGAAACTTTTTCATCCTCATCTGCAACCTGTTGGTCTAGAACCTGCTCATTCAATTTAAGACTCTTTCATCCAATCCATTAACCCCTAAAATGTCTCGGATCATCATCTTACCTTAATTGTTTATTCAAACCCACAATAAAACTAGCTGTTGCATTAACTTAAATGTCACCGGCGTCGTCACTCGCCCTTTGAGAAGAGGAAGAAAAACGATTGGTGGTTGCACTTGTTTGCAAGCACGATAATTGCTGTAATGCAAACGGTTAAACTGCAACGTCGATGCCGCTTCGTTGGCCACGATCAAAATAAATGACCGTAATTACATTCGACTGCAAACATCTGTGTAGTGGTGGATGGAGAGAGCGCATGAGCGAAAGCACAACTCCATTAGCGTAATGCGCAGTGAAATTTCACTTGCGGTGCAGAAAGTCGTTAAGTGCTCTCCATCTGTCTTTCTGAGTCGAGGGAACATTTCAGCACATTTATTATTGAAAATATCCTGGGCCAAACTCAACATGCGAGAGCCCCTTTTTGACTTTTACTCAGTCATGGCTCATTGAATTAGCCAGTACTAAATGGGCAGTTAAAACGTGTAGAAGAGATGCTGGAGCATGCTGTTTGAGCAGTTGCTATGTAGTCCAGTCTCTGATGTGTTGTCGCTTTGATTCCTTATGTTCTCCAGCTGCTTGCCCTGAGCTCCCTTCATCTGTCAGAATCTATTGCATTTGTGCAATTTATCCGTCCTGAGTGACACTGCATAATGGCTTATAACAAATGCAGCACTCTTTTTACTAACTTTTAGAGCTGATTAAATCCAGCCGACAATCAGATTTTTAACACATAATATATGCAAGGAACCTGATGTTTTACATGCGTAGCAGCTGCAGGACAGCATGCTATGTATGCCTTTGAAATCCTGGCCAGTGTTACAGTGCATCTGCCCGAACAGCGCATGTGAGTCCACTGTCTTTCAGCTGCTGCCAGACAGGATCCTGCCAAATTAACCAATGTTGCTATGCAGCGTGCAAAAAAGGAGTTTATCCACCTTCCGGTTGCAACTTATTAAGATTCAGCAGGGGGGCTTAAGGGTCCCTGTGATAGATGGATGTCGTTGAGGGGTCTGACAACTGATTAATGCCTTAATTATCTCCGGCGAGGACCTGCCACTCCTCCTAGAGCTGACAGAGTGAGCTGTGTGTGGCCTGACGAGTAACGCCGTGTTCGGGGCTCGCCCACTCTTATCTGCTCTACCAGGGTCACATTCATTTGCCTCCCGAGGGAAAATGTGCATTTTTTGTGCTGCAAAGGTGTATAACGGTGATGAAACAGTGCAGCCGGATGTTTTGGGATCTTTGCCACTACCAGAAAGACAACTTTTTAATTTAGCCTCCTCTTGTTTGCTCTCTGCATACAGAAGAGATTCTGCCTTAAATCACAACGTAAGATGAGAGATTTAGTTTGATACTGAATTTATGATCCTGTTTTGAAATCATGAATGTGACTTATTGGGTATAGTTTAAGAAATAACACGCTGCTACAGAACTTTATTAGTATAACGTACAGTAACATTTTCCAAGAAGAACCAGTTACTTTTATGCTGGATGAGCAGTGAAAATGAAGGCATTCATAAGCTTTTAATCACACAATTGTCAGGAATGTAGATGCAGAAAAAGTTTGAGAAGTGTAAAAAAAGACAGTTTCATTTGTTGAGGAATACATTGTGATATTGTGTTGCATAATGTTATATTGTTAGGTGTTAAACTGTTGTCCAGACTTGTTTTTTATGCAGGCAAACAAATTATCTTGTGCATTTTCTAACACAGCTTCTAAGTACATGTATGACGAGATTACAAAAAGATGGCTGCATTGCATTCTGGTTTTTTGAGACTATACTTGATTTAAAAGAATGTTACATTGCTAACCAACAACACAATACCATACACTTACAGACTTTTCACTTTTTGAAATGTCTTTGTCTTGTTGTGCTTGGGTTGTGGTTAAATGAGACTGGAAGTGCTTTTATTGCCAACATAAGGCGTAAATGGGAATTCCTTGTTAAGACAGGAAGATAAACACAAAGTCACTTTAATACCACTTAGCAGCAGAATGGCTTTGTGCACATTTAGCTCTCTGTAAGGAACATTTTTTAGAAATGTACAAACACACACCCACACGTGTTTGCTCTTGACATACTGTAAATTCTAAGTATTTTGAAACAGCATTAGTTTTGTTAAAAAGTATTTTATATTTTTGTAATCTGCAGATGGTTTGGAGGCTAAGCATTTGCTTACCATTGTAATTCAGAGGAGATTAAATTGTATTTAATCACAAACAAATTAGAAGTATTTTGTTTGCAGAGCGACAGGTGCTGATGCAGTGTGTGTCCTGTGTGTGTTTTCTGCTACAGGTGTGTGACTGGTGCAAACATATCCGCCACACTAAGGAGTACCTGGATTTTGGTGCTGGTGAGCGGAGGCTGCAGTTCTGCAGTGCCAAATGCCTGAACCAATATAAGATGGACATTTTCTACAAGGAGACCCAGGCTGCGCTGCCGGGAGGGTTCTGTAACCCAGGACACGGGGGAGGAGGTGAGGGTAAGATGGAGTGCGGCGGGGGGGTTCAGCTGCTCACTCCTGAATCTTGGGGAACGCCGTTAACGGACCTCCGGCGTAAAGCTCCCTCGCCAGGGGGGCCATCAACAACCTCTGCAATGGCCCCTTCCACTTCTTCTGCCACCTCCCCCTCAGACTCTGCAGCTGTCTACTCCCCATCGTCCTTGTCCAAGATCCCCACACCCAGACTCCACGAGGGCCACACGCTCCACCCTCCGCCTGTTCCCACTTTGCACCCCCCTGTCGGGGTTCCTCCTGGTAGCCCTCCAATGGTGATGACACCACGAGGACCCATGCCCCTGCCCCTGTTCATGGAGCATCAAATGATGCAGCAGATGCGTTCACCATATCTTCGGCCCTCTGCCCACCCAGGTGGGCCCCATAGCCCCCTGTCAAACCCTATGATCCCTGGTATTGGTCCACATCCGAGGACCATGGGTCCAGCATCGAGCCCCATGCACAGGCCTCAGATGTCTCCACATGTTTACCCCTCATCTAACCCCAACCCTGGTATGATGCCACCCTACCCCGGTTTCTCCATGCCAGGCCTCCCCCATTTTCCCCCAGTCAATATGATGCCCAATGGACGCATTCCTATGCCCCCAATGATGAACTATGGCATGCCATCTTTGTCCCCATTAGTACCCCCGGCAACTCTCTTGATCCCCTACCCTGTCATTGTACCCTTACCAGTCCCAATCCCTATTCCAATCCCTATTCCCTACAACCCTCAGGCTTCTTGGGACAACTCGGAGAGGAGTGGCCCCTTCCGCAGTGCTCCAGAGTCATCCGAATGTTCAGCTTCGGGGCCCCACTCTCCAGGTTCCTCTGGAGGGCACAGAGGGGAGCAGAAAGTAGAGCCATCAGTTCTAGAGCGTCTCTCTCCTGCACACTCGGAGAGGAGCAGGACAGGGATGGTGGACTTGACTGTGAAGGCAGAGGACAATTCGGGCAACCTGTGTCCAACCAGCTGCTCCGGACCCATGGACGGGGTGATTGATCTAACTGTGGGCCAGAGGACTTGCCAACAGCAGGTCATTCAGAGGATGCTACCAGGGGTCCAGGTCAAAGTAGAGGCAGAGACTGATTCAAGATCTCCACCAGCTGCTGGGCTAAGTTGGGAAGGGAAGGGGAGTTGTGACGGGGGAGAAGGGGCCCTCTCACAGAGCTTCCTCAGTGCTACGGAGCTAGAAGGGGCCACACAACCAAACACACTGGAATCATCAGGTCCTCCCTCCAGCTATAGCAGCCCTTCTTGCCATGATGACCCACCAGTGAGCCAGCTAAATCCCTGTATCTCTAACCATACCCCACCATCCTTGCCAAGCACAGCACGGACCCAATCCCAAACCCCGCCCCACCTCCAAACTAACCCTGCTGCCCTGTGTAATGTCATAGTCAATGGTTCGGGGTGGCATCCGCTTCTCCCTCCTGCCTTCGAGTCTTACCCTGAGCGAGACAGTGTTGCAGGAGAAGGGGAGGCACAGCCAGCCAACGGTGACCTAGAGCATGAGGCACTAAAAGAGAACAATTGCTCGGTTGGAGTTGGAGATTGGGAGCCGGGGAAGCGGGGCTTATTGCAAGACGAGATGGCGGACACAGTGGAGGGTAAGCCGGATCCTGACTCCAACGCAGAGGAGGGTGAGCATGCCTACTCCCTGCCGCTGCTGTCCACCGGAGGCTGTGTGGTCATCCAGCCTGTGCCAAAGCCCGGCGCTGACAAGACGGCCATCCTGTCCTGCTCCATCAGTGCCCCTTTATCAGTGGACGGGAGCCCCGAGCTGGAGCCGCCGCTAAAGAGGAGGTGTCTGCGAATCCGCAATCAAAACAAATGAGGTGGGTTCACTCCACTGTGCTTCCACAAACAATCTTATGTAATTGTGCGGTGTGTTGTCAAAAATTATTCATTGACATTTTGGAATTCACAGTGGGGTACCCTTTAAATAATCAGACAATTTGTTGTTTCAAATGTCTCCCCAGCGTGTGTCTTTGAAGAAAATGGTCTCATTGAGTTCCAAAATGTTCTTTAACAATTTGTTTACTATTGATGTCAGTCTTACCATCTGATGTAGTTCAATATCACTTACATTGCAGGGAATAAAAGGCTCAAGGTCCAGTAGGGAACATGACTAGAAGCCCACACTAAATCAACATATTACATATGCAATAATAAATAAACTTTTAGAAATTAAATAAGCCCTATTATGTTTTTCGGGTTTTCCCTTTCCTGTAGTGTGTTATATAGGTTTTTATGCATGAAAATGGTCTGCAAAGGCTAAAATCCTAAAGTTGCGTTTCTCTCCCACACACTCCCCCCCCCTGCCTGAAACGCCTCCATTGGACTCCTTTGTTTACTTCCAGAACATAGTGACATCACTACGTAACATTTGCACTTCTATTAGCTAGCGCTCCAACACATTGTACTTAATCGGCCAGCTAACCAATCAGAGCAGACTGGGCTGTGGTTTCAGACAGAGGGTGAAAAGAGGTGCTCCCATTTTATTTGTTGCTTTACTTTTACTGGCAGAGTTTTACTCCTGTTTTTTCTGTAAAGCGACCCGGGTCCCCTGAAAGGCGCTATATACATTTAAGTTATTATTATTATTATTATTATTATTATTATGAGCCTCAGAATATAGGGAAGTCTATCATGAAACAGGATTTATTCAACACGTTAATGCACCATTTAATGATGCACTCCTCGAGTTGGTAATTAAATGAGATTGTATCCAAGAGCAATTGAAGAGCAATTGAAGTTAGGGTAACATGAGGCGAGCGCTCTGAATTAGAGTAATTAATAACGACAAAAGACGGAAATCAAGCTCCATGCACAGTAAGTACTGCTAAAACCAAACCAGCAGCTGAGAAAAATGTAACATGACCTTCAGGTAACTGAAGATACACAACATTTGATAAGTGATATTAACGAATGCAAAAAGATATGCTCTATCTCACCTTATTCACTCTTCTGCCATATAAGGCAGTCGTTATGAATGATCTAAAACACTATGTCAAATGTATGGCACCAGAGCACGTGCTGAATATTCAATTCTTTATTTGCCCCAAAGTGCCCTCAGGCTGATACTGATTGCACGCACTGTAGAGAATAAACAGAACATTAGGAAGCCCTTCTGAATATTTGCTTTTTCCACTTTTTAACTGATTTTGTGTTGTTATTGTACATGCTCTTTTCTCTTTTCTCAAAGGAAACACATTTTTTCACCAATGTGTATTTGACACATCAGAAATACATTTCTTATCAAAGTCTGCAGAGCATGGGTTGATTGATAAAACAGAGGACCCTCCCCCAAAAGGACCATGTTTGTGTCCCCAGTAAACCCTAAGTCCAAGTTTACTTATTTTAATTTACGTCTGTACTTACAGAGGACTTATTATGCTAATTTTCAAGTTCATATCAGTATTTAGTGTCTCTCCTGTGACATGTCTCCATGCTTTAATGTTCAAAGAGCTCTTTATTTTTCTCATACTGCCTGTGCTGCAGCACCTCTTTTCACCCTCTGTCTGAAACCAGAGCGCAGTCTGCTCTGATTGGTTAGCTGGCTCTGTTGTGATTGGTCAACTGCTTAGAGATGTCCCGCCCCTTAGCCCATCACGTAAACATTTTTGGAAGGCTAGCCAACAGAAGTGCGAGTGTTACATAGTGATGTCACTATGTTACGGAAGTAAACAAATTAGATGGAGGTGATTCAGGCAGTGGTGGGATTGTGTTGGAGAGAAACTCCCTCTGGAGAGAATTTAGGATTTTAGCTTTTGCCGACCAAAACCTATATAACACACTACAAGAAAGGGAAAACCCAAAAAAGCATAATAGGGCCTCTTAAAAATGATGTATCAAACAGACTAATTTGAAGCCAAACTGTGATGTTATACTAAACCTAACCAAGTTGTTTTATCGTGTAAAGAAAAACAAGTAGTTTTGCGTGTTTCCCTTGAAACATAATTGCAATTGCAGTTAAGTTGTACAGGAGTGTTATTCCCATTTTATAGAAAAATTATATTTTTGTTTTTTCTTTGTGTTGCTTATATGAACTTCAGTATGGGATTAGCACATCTATCATGTCAAGGGACTTATTCAATACAGTACACATTTTATGATACACTCCTCAAGTTGTTAATTAAACAAAATTGCATTCAAGAGCAATGTGCTTGGACACATGCACCGACTTAAGAAAAACCAGCCTTGTGGGGTGACTCAGTCTAACTCTCCTCCCACTGTGTTTCACAGATGGACGCTCTGAGGACCACAGTGCCATCAACGACACTCACTTGTCCACCCCCCACCTCCAAACCCCACCCCTCCCAGCGACACTACCGCACATGTACATGCACACACATACACTTTTTTCTCGTCCTCGCTCATCGCCCAGTCTACCAGCACCACAAATCGCCTTCGACGACTGATGAGAGTCCAACCAAACATGTTGATGAGTATCACAGCAGAGCGCTCTGGACTCATTTGGTCCGTGTGACAGACGCTCTGATGGAATGAACTACAGACTTTGTACTGCAGACAGTATAATACTGCAACAAGAGGACTTCACCCCACTGCTTCTCTCCTTATTTAGAGGCTCTCAGCCCACACTGCCCCTTACACCTAATCCAGCGTCACCATCAAAGCAAGAGCTCTTCACATTGTCTATAACTACAGAACACACCAGAGGGATTAATGAAGGAGCCCCAAAGAGTGACTACCTTATTTTAATGAAATTCTACCATTTTGTCCAACATGGTGCCACACCACAAGTAAATCTCTGATCCAGTAAGTGTTTGTTTTTTCTCTCTGTCACTAAGGTATATACTGATTTACAAAGTGTAGATTATAGAGCCATAGAGATGGCAGAAATAACAGAAAAATGCAAAAATGTACTTGTCAAAGTGTTCTGGGTGATTTTGAGGGGCGAAACATGAACACGGTTAATAGGATGTGACTGAAGGACAATTAAAAGAGATGTTTCAATCAGAAGGCTTAAAAAGTGTCCTTGGACATTAAATCACCAATTTTGTGGATAATTATTCCTACTGAATGAGCAAACTGGAAGATAAATGATTAACCTTCACCAGCAAGGAATGGTGTGTGGGCAGAATCATACAATCTCTGACATGTCCTGTAGCATCAGTTTGTTTGGTATTAAACTCCACTTAATTGACATATACAGTACTGTATGTTGTAACAAAAGAATGATACACAGTTGCCATGAAAAGCATTCCTACCATTGACATTTTCACGCCATTTGGAATCTCGCCTGAGTGCTTAAACAGTACGCCATACCAGTAACCGTAATGGGCCCCCCTGCTGTTTTTAGAACGTTTCAAGGCTTAATGCGCCTCGAAAAAGAACCTGGATTGCATGGCAATATAAAAACTCTGCCAACCTGCAGTGGCTACTTGCTACCGCAGGCTAGTACTTCATCTTTTTTATAATACATTACCAGTGATGTTCCTGTAATGGGCTAGTTTGAAACTGACTGCACTGAATTTAGAGGGGGCAGAGGAAAGCCAGCTCTTTCATAAATAATTATTGTGGGACTTAAAGTAACACCACACGTTCTTTTCTACAATAAACACACTCAAGACAAATGTTATGTTTTAAATATTTGAGAGATATTTAAAATATTGCTTCTTGCTTGTCCATCAATCCTGCCAAGTTTCTTAATTTTTGCCAATTATCTTTAGTTTTAAGCCAATTGTAAAGCCAATGTTTTCCTTAGCATGCTCTATGTATGTCTTTGTGCAATTTAAAGGGGACATATCATAAAAAAAGTCACTTTTTTGTGTGCTTGTGAACATACATTAGGACAGTTTTCCGTCAAGGTCATAAAACATGGGATTTAACAAAGTATAATGCCCCCTATCTGAGCATCTCCTCTCAAGGCATCAGAACTGCCTTTGCAAAGATTCAATATATCTTTCTTGCCGGCCAATCACAGCAGACCAGGCTTTTCCAGGTCTTAAAGAGACAGGTGCTAAAACGGAGCATTTGAGGGAGAGGTTGAATAAACATATATTCAGGAAAGCAGAATGAGATAAATAACGGGTTTTTGAACATTAAAGCTTGTAAACATGTTCTAGTCAAAACCCATAAACATAAAAATGAGCGTGATATGTCCCCTTTAAGTGAATGAAATACAACTGTCAACGTTCAGTTTGATCTGATCCACTTACACTGCAGTTTAAGACGGTGAGCTGGGACATCAAACTAAAAATGAGCATTGAGTTTACACCCTTATGTAGGAGGTACATTGTAAATGTTCGAGACAAGGTATTATCATTATGCCAAAGGCCTCCAGTGTGATGAAACAAAACATGTCGCCTAGTTTTCAGTGGAAATTGGATTTGCAAACTGAAGATTTGACCAGATAATTTATAGTTGCCAAAATAACAAGCACTTATTTTTCCAAACGAAAGAAAGAGTATACAAGTGGATGTCAAAAACAGTATTACCCTCTTTTGTCTCTTCATGGTTTATTTAACCAATTAAAAAGGTATGTCACACTTCATGGAAGATGAAATACAACTCTGGATTAATGCACAACTTAAATGATCTTTAAAAGGACATTTCACCCCAAAATCTAAAATACCTATTTTATCTCTAACCTGTAGCACTATTTATCCCTTTAGTGTTGGAGATAGCATCTGTAGAGACGCCTGCCTTCTCTCTAATATAATGGAACCAGAGTGCACTCCAAATAAATACAGAAAGAGAAGGCAGACATCTTAACAGCTGATGTCAATAAAGGGTGAAGAATAGCTCTGCAGGTAAAAGTAAACATATATAATCCCATCCCATCTGACTGTTTTTGTAGTAGCCTTTGTTTTTTTTCTGTCTGATTCGTTCTGTGTCCAAGTGAGGCCCAACATTAACTCATACTTACATGTCACAAGCATACATGCAGCAATCATATCACTTACACACAATGCACATACATGTAACTGTGTGTACGTGGTTGTGAGGCAGGTGCAATCAGAGAGCACAGTCAAGATTATAAAGTGTTGACTCAGAGTAAGCAGTGTGCAACTTTATCTGTTGCCTGTTAGTCAGGCATTTAGGCTTAGCTTGATGCTTGCCAAGGCCCAGCTTTGGTGTCACTTTAAGCAGTTCCATGCCTCCGTTTCATTTCTTTGCAATCAAAGGCAGTTCAAATGCTCTCTTTAAGCTGCTTGTTTCTGTCTCGTCTACCTTCTGCTGTATTTGTCCATAAGTAGAGATACCCCTTACTGTTATTATTTCAGAGATAGCGGGCAGTTTTCTTGTACAGAATCCAGAAACAACAATGTAACTGGACACTGTTGTTTTTATTGTCTGTAATATGGGAGTAATACAAAGCCAAGGCCACAGCCCCACAACATCCCGCTTACTGTTTTGACCAAAAAACAAAGAGGAGGTTTCTAATCTTTTTTAATACTTCAACTTTTAAATCTTTTCAATTGTTACTTTCTGTAAATGTTATATTTTATCAAATGTACAAAAAAATCAGCTGTCTGTAGATTTTTAGATTGTAAAGTCCCCCCAGGATGCAAAAACATACAGAGGGCATTACCTCAGTATTCCCAAAAGCTACAACCCTGTACAAATCTGAGCCACTGCTACAGCTCTGTCCATAGTTACTGTATGGGCCTGCACCATTCGGTTCAATATAAGTAGGAAGGCAATTGTGTCAGGTAAGGAGAACACAGTTTTTAAAATGACCCATATGTTCTGGTTAGTTACTTTGGTTACTGATGTAAGCTAACTGCTCCAAGCTAACTCTTTACTGTCTGCTAGCATATTCAAAAACAGGAAAATCGACTGGTAAATCAAAGAATGATGAATCCATTTTGGACTCACGTGTAGCTGTCATCAAGCGCCACCCGGGACAGAATATATACTTTCAACATGAAATATCTAAAGCATATGGCCATAAGTCATTGCAAAGAATATATGATTATTTGATATATTTCTATTTGAGAGTTAAATCAAAAGATTTTCACCACTCTGGCTTAGCATAGCATAACACAGCATTGAGATAGTAAATGGGTTTGCTCTGTACAAAGGTTTAAAAGATCTGCTTACCAGTACCTGGAAGTCTTACTTATCAACACAATATAACTATTTGTTTTCCAGTGTTAATGCTTAAAGCTGGCTGTAGCTTCATAATCGGATTTCCCAAAATGTTTCTTCCCCAGAGGACAAATGTTAAAAAAAGTTGGCTACCTTTTCCTGTGACATTGTTCATGCAACCATCAGACTAAACGTAAGCCTCCAACTGTAGTCCCAGTTTCAGCAAGCTGTTAGTTAGCCTAGCTCAACACAAATAATAGTAACGGGGAAGAAGCTAGCCTTGCTTTGTCCAAAGATATTTTTTAAATCGGTCCACCAGCACCTGTAAATCCTACAAAATACTAAAGTGTATTTGGTCTGTTTCCAGTCTTTATGCTAAGCTTAGCTAACCGGCTGCTAGCTATAGCTTCACAAGGACATTTCGCAAAATGTTGATTGTTCCTTCCTACCTTTTTCGGACCCTTCTCACAGTGACACCATCAAGCTAAAATTACAACTAGTCTCTAAGAACTCCATAGGCCTATGTCATTGTCTTTACCAGAGGTGGATGAGGAACTAACCAAAATATTTTACTATCTCTGCTTTTTCTCCTGCCTGACACCGTTACACACACATTCAGACGCACACAGACAAAACAACATGCATGGTCTGTCTGACTCTAATCTCCACAATGTTGTGTTGGCGTTGCAAACGATACACTGTCCATGTCTGAGACAGATATTCAAGATATGAAAGCCTAAATCTCATGTGGAAAGATTCTGGACCACTTATTCAGTCTTTGTGATGGCAAACAGACTCGTGACAAATCTCCTGCATTCCTTTTTTTGATGATGGACTACAGGCCTGGTCAACAGCCTGAATTATGCAATGACAACTTACTCCAACCCTAATATAGACGAGTGGTCCACAGACAAAATAAAACATGACATGACTTCATGTTACCTTTCAAAAACAACAGAGAAGTTGCCTTAACTCTTGCTTGTATAATCTCCACAGTTAAGACAATGATGCTCGCTTGTAAAGAAGACTCCCTTCTTTGTACAAAATGAAATATACCAGAAACAACAACTTTGTTATCTTGCTAGTGTCAATGTATAGATGATCAGCTTTTTTTCTGTAACTTGGATGGACCGTCACATTTTTGCTAAGAAGAAACCCTCCTCCCAACTTCCTGTCCGTAACCATCCAATCTGTTCAACGTTTTAACTCGTGGTGGACTGTCAATCTTTTTGTGTACATTTTATAGTATTATTTATTGTTGACAAGTTTTGCATTTGCAAATAATAAAAAAAAGTGAGGTTGGTTTGACCGGAGCATTCTATTCCAATGTAAATGCCTGGTGAACAGTGAAAAGCTTTTTTTATTATTAAAATGGAGAAAACAGTGATATGAGGAGATGACCTTCTGTCTTTTTATTATGACCTTGTAACATGTACATAACATGTGGCCAAAGTTGCTTTGGAAAATAATAATTTTTTGTGTTGTAACAGTATTTGTTTTATCCAGTGAATTGCTCATGAAGACAAATAAACAAGAGGCACACACAAATCTGTTTCATAATTGTTCATATCTGCTCATTTTATGGATCCTGCACGCAAAAGATATTAGCTTTATATTGTGAAGGATGACTTAGGTATCAGTTCAAATACAACATAGCAGAGAGCCATTCAGGATCAGTGAAAACGGTGACAAATCACAATCATAACTTACGTGTCAATTGTAAAATATCCCTTTTCAGAGTCAATGTTTTACAGTAATCCTTTTGAATAAAAACTCTGAGAACAAGCAGTGCAGCTCAATGGAAACAGGAGAAGTTCATAAATACAACACGTTTTAATCCAGAGATACCCTCCACATCAAATACTGTGCTGCATATTGTCATACAATAGAGTTTGAGATGAAAAGCAAGAGCTGCTCTAGGATATCACAGAATTTACCCGTCAAATAAAATGATGCTAACAGCGTGTGAATGTTATTTATAATTAATGCACACGAGATTACGTGTTTAAACACATTTTAGAATATTGAATCATTTATAACTAGTTAGGCTTTGGTTATATCATTTAAATATGAATGGATAAGATGGAGTGGAGTGAAAATAAAAACACACTTATGAGTCAAGTAATTAGTTATAAGTTGTCACAACAAAACTATATGTGAATTGGTTAATATGGACCAATAAAATGTCCAGATTGTTAAGAAATAATTGCATTATCCACAATCAGAGGATGATATATATATCATTCTTTGACTGAGTTGACATCTCATTGAGATCAAGTTATTTTTCATTAGTAACCTTGCCAAAAGGGCAGAATTAACATTGTTTACAATAAATACAAACATAACCACAACTGTGAGTCACTACAGATGAATGAGCACAATATCCAGTTAATGTGCATTATAACACACTGTTACAATACATACAAGGCACAGTTTGAAAACCATTTCAGTGAAAGATTAAAGAGCAATTACTGTACATCGACCAGGATTGCTATTATCCCATTATTTTTAATTGGACTTAGACTCTCCAACATGAATCCGCTTTGAACATTTCAGGTCATTCTGTGCTTTATTCCAAGATAAAAAGGGG